CTCCGCAGGGAGAAACCTTCTTTTGGGGTGGCGGCAAAGTTCACCGCTCAGATCGAACGCAGTGTTGGAGGGTGTTCTTGTGCAAGACGGACCGGAACGACAAAAAGGTTGCTTTCAAGGGGGATCCCCACGCTTCGTTTGTAAAGGCCTTGCAGCTGATTGAGAAACAACGCAGCTAGTTTCACTCGGGGTATGTAGCCAGCCTTAGGGGTATATCGCACCGTTTGCAGGGTATAGGAGACGCTGTTGAAACATTGGAAACAAATACATGAGCAGCAACAATTCGTTGTCATTAAGCATTTGTGTTCTCATGCCCCCTGCAACGGTCAGCAAGGGTATAGCTGCAGCTACGCTGCGCAGTTGGGGTGTATAGAGCTTGCCTGGCACAAGCTTTGGATCTACGTCGGAGATCGAAGAAAAGCTGTCCATCTTTTTTGCAAGGGGTAGTAGCAGAATCATTTTGCACGAACATGTCTTGTGCTGCTCAAACTTTCTCCAGAATCATAGGGACACAGCGGCTACAGAAGGATTCATGTGCTGCATGACGGCTGTTCACTATGTTCTTGTTGCAGTCTGTCGAAAACACCTGCAGCATCTTGCTGTTTACTCAGATGCCGGTTTTTGGATTGAAGTCTGCTGGGCTCTAAGGGCTCGCGGTGGCTGGGCGTTTGAGCTCGCTTCACGATCAGCATGCATCATACTATATACCATACAATAACCACCCATATGACCCATATGTTACTTATAACAAGCAATAATGGCCAAGTCTTGAACTGGAAGAAAAGGAAACAAATATATACTTCAGTTAAACGGGTTGCGGCGTAGGAACCATGCTATGGCATTTGGTGGCATTGGCAGAAGCAAGCTGGTCTCACAGTCTGCATTGGCCAGCATCTTCGAGGAGATCGAAGAGCATGGGCTGCCAAAAGCAAAGTCTAGAAGCAGCATCAAGAGAGCGCGAGATGAGAGTGTAGACATAGAAACACCTTACGGAAAACTGCTGGTCAGTGAACAGGCGGTCTTGACATTGGAAGAAGGCCAAGAGAAACCAGAGATGGCCACCTTTTTTTTCGTCAACCCACTTTCACTCATCCACTACATATGCCAAAATTGCGATGAGTACGCTACTTTCTTCAAACAAATGCTTGATCGTCACCAACCCAATTTCGACAGGAAGCTGGACATTGTTGCATACAATGACGAAGTAACACCAGGGAACGTTTTGAGGCATGTGAATGAACGCAAGGTCTACATAGCCTACTGGAGCTTCAAAGCTCATGGCTTACCGGCGCTCTCTACGGAGAGCTGTTGGTTTCTGTTGGGCATAGCACGGTCTGATGCTGTTCGAAGACTGCCTGGGAAGGCAGGGCAGTGGTTGAAGATGGCATTGTGCAAATTTTATGAGCCATACGACCTGAGAAGTGGAATCCAGATTGTTTTGCCTACTTCTGAGAGACGGGTCATTTTTGGGGAGGTGAGCATGTTGATTGGAGATGAAGTGGCTTTAAAAGAAAGTCTCGATTTTCGCGGTGCTTCGGGCACTGTGTTGTGCCCGCTCTGCCAAAATATCGTGGATCACAAAAGTGAATCCATCTACACGATAGCACAGGGAGGATCCTGCCATCGACAAATCTAGACCCTACATTGGTGCAGCCACACTCGGATAAGTCCGTGCGAGATACTTTGAAATTGCTGGCAGACAAAAAGAACAACGCATCCAAAGCAGCTTTCGAGAGGGCCCAGCAGCTAACAGGGTGGAGCCTCAATTTACATGGTGTACTGTTATGTGAACAGCTTTCCATCAAACCTGTCAGCTCCATTTGCTTCGATTGGATGCATACCTACTTGTCTAGTGGGCTTTGGAATCATGAAACTGGACTTTTGCTGTCTCGTTTAAGTGACCGCTGCAACTACACTCACAGGAACCTCCACGACGACCTTCAAACTTTCAGGTTTCCATCGTCTTTGTCATCACGATCTATCACAGGTCAAAAGGTTTTTGCAAAGAAGAAAAAAGATGAGCCTCCAGAGGTAAAGTGCAGTGCCAGTGAGGGTCTGAGTCTGTACTCTGTATTGAGGTTTGTGCTTGTGCAGAAAGCGAGTGAATTTGGTCCAGTGCGGTCGGAAATTGAAAGTTACTTGAGGCTTGCCAGGGTCATGGACCTGTTGCAAGGTATAAAGAAGGGGAGCACACATTCCAGCGTCCTTCACAAAGCGATCTTGGATCACCTTCACGGGTACTTGATGGTCTATTGTGGGAAAGGTTCGCACCGAAACATCACTACAGCTCTCACTTGGGGAGAATGCATTCTGCTCACGAAGGTCTCATATCGTGCTTTGTGCACGAACGTAAACACAAGGAAGTAAAAAAATTTGCAACCTTGGCAACAAACACGTGGATCGGCTGGGAGAAGAGTGTGTTGTCTGATTCTCTGTGTTTGCAGCTCCGAGAGCTTCGCAAAGGTGAGGTTGGACCATTGAAGGTTGGACTCTTGAACCCAGATGAACCCAGTACCAGACTGGAATCACTTCTACGAACTGCATGCAGCGAGCATGATGGTGAGGTGATGGTTGCATTACGAGGAGTCTTTTCACCAGGGGCGGTTGCAGGGGTTGGTGATGCTGTCCTTTTCTCCTGTGAAGCGGAACGGCTTGTGGGGCAGATTCAGTTCTTTGCCAGGATTGGCGCTGAAGAGTTTGTTTGCATAAAGAAGTGGAAACATCTTGGGAGGAACAGGTTTGAGGATGCTGGTAAGGCTATGCTGTGCCCTCTGATTGCCATCCTGGACACTTGCATCTACTCGCCCCAAGATGGGTATTTTTTGGTTGTGCCACTCACTACTTGGGATGATGCGTGAAATTCGTGAGAGCCAGAAAAGACCCGAAACCATTACCACAACATTTCCAAATTGTCAGTCTCAAATGTTGGGATGCTTCTGGAGTTGCTCGGAGGAAGCTCAATCTGCAATCGTTTCTGTTTATGAATTTCAATTTGTTGGATGTGAAGATGAAACCCACGAAAGGAGTGCTTGCGTTCATGCGTTCGCCGCATCATTCATGTAGGTTTGGTCCACCACGTGTAGACTGTCCATGATCCTTTCAAAACTAAGGAGAGTCGGGACGTTGCTGTTCATGATCCTTTTGAAAATAGATAAATGTACGATGTCGGTGGACGTTTGTAGCTGCAATCCTGATCACCAAAGGAAACACGCGGATTTTTGCCACACATACATATATACACAGTCAACATTAAAGGCCCCCATCTCTGGCTGGCAAACGACTTAATAACACCTATTTCTTCACGCCGAAGGAACTCGAAAAAACAGTTACACATCATGAACGGCATGGACATTGCTCACCTTATAGTAACTTATAAGATGTGTTTTCTTTTCTCTAGGACACGAAAAACAAAATAAACATTTCCGGTTTACGGAGTTGGTACCTGTTTTTTTACAGAAATGAACGGAAACCAGAACCCTTTGCTACGCATTCGGGTGGTTGACGACCGTTCGCTTTTGCTGCGCGTGCATCTGGCAGGCTGCCAATCCAATGCAGGCAGAGCGGTTGGGCATCCTAAGGGCAAAAAACAAAATATATATATATATGTATAGATATATGAATTTTGGGGGGCCAACGCAACCGTTCCCGCACACAAGGGGTTTCAACGGTTGTGCATGTCTATATATAAGTTCCAAGACTTCGTCGGCCTTTGGTCGAAGGCAACCTGCAGGGCCTCCGAAATTAAACAAAACACGTCAACAATTTTCTATACAACAACAGATCTCGCCGGTTTTGCGGGAAGACTCCCCACCGGAAAAAACAACAGGATGTTGGCGCAAAGAGCGGATACCCTTTTGTGGATGGGGACACGTCCTCACAGCCAGCTTTCTACGCGCACTTTTCTTTTCTGAACGTATTTAATAACATGTTTTCGGGCCACCTGTCCTTAGTGTGTTTCTAGATATAAATCACACTCGGCAAGTCTAACATGGCGCACTTAGCAAGTCGTCCAGGCCTAGTTAGCAAGTCTGCCCCGGCCTAGTTAGCAAGTCTGCCCCGGCCTAGTTAGCAAGTCAGCCCCGGCCTAGTTAGCAAGTCCACCCGGCGCACATAGCAAGTCAGCCCGGCACACTTAGCAAGTCTGCCCCGGCCAACTTAGCAACTCCACCCGGCACTGTTGGCGCACATGCAATAACTAGGCCAAGGTCAACATAGTAAGTCGCCCGCGGCGCACTTGCTAACTCTGCCAACTGAGTTGTGTAAGTCAGCCAAGCTTGTCAACTACATAGCAACAAGGCCGACCATCCAAGCAGGTAAAGTCCCGCAAACCAGCCCAGGCGAGCTGCGCTGAAGCCCGGGGGCCATCTTCGAAACGGGCCGTCGAAATGAGCAAAAACCAGAATTGTCAGCTAAACTCTGTTCAAACACCGAAAAGATCTGTCCTTCAAAAACACTGAGTTTCTCCAGCGCCTTCTCGATGTCTTCCACTTTTAATTTTGCAGCCGATCTTCCCATTGCTGTTGAGTCGACCGGAGCACAACGGATCCATGCCAAACAAGCAGATTCCATGCATCGGACCACACGCCACTGCAGACGGTTCAAAGAGGAAGGGATCACGATGTCAAGAGGACAAGTCACAGGCCTGTTTAAATAGACCCAGTCCAGAGCAGCAACACAAAGGTTCAAGCCCCTCTGCAACGCTCTCGTCTCGCAATCATCTCCAGTCTCCAGTAAAGCTCCCGGAAAAGGGAGCGGCATGGGCCACAATTTGGCGGTACTCTTCAACTGAGAAGAAGTAGCTGGTCTTCGATGGAAAAAACGCAAAAACTTTGAAAAACTGCCTCCCAACTCTCGCAAAAACCGAAAGGATGAATTGAACCAGGTCCTCGGGCAAACGGTCGTCGCCTTTGAGCCTGGCGCGTGCCGAGCAGCATCGTCTCGGCAACCATGCACAAAACAGCGAGCCGGGGACTCGGCCGGCTCGGAGCTTTCTGGATCATTCAATTGCTGCTGCCCGCAGGAGGATGATTGCTCTCCTCCTGCGTCTCTCCCTTTCCTTTGCCCTTGTTTTTCGCTTTCGGCTTCGGCTTGTCTGGTTTGGCCGGCGGAGCGCCCGTTGGAGCATCGTTCTGAATCTGGCGCTTTCCCAACTTCGCCCGTTTCTCTGCAAAATCGTCCAGCTCCCTGATTCGAAACATCATGGCCTCTGCCCATTGTGCTGGCAGAAGTCGGGAGTGATGAACCTCGAAGATCTCCGGGGCTTGATGTTTGCTGAAACTTCCAAAGGGGGGTCCATCCTCGAGCAAGACCTCCGCACCCAGCAACCACGACCCTTTGTCGTAAGAGACTTGATCGATGGCAGCAACCAGAAGACTCAGCCGAGCCTTTGCCTCCGCAATGCGATTCTGTCGAAGAGCATCGAGAGTCTCGAGCTCCACATAGCCCAAAGGGTGCGGACCGTGCCTTGAATGTTCGGCACTCTCGATCGATGCTCCGCCCATCCTCTGAACGTGGCTGTCATGATACCTAGACCCGGACCAAGTTCCGGGGCACCACAATCGTGCAGCATGTTTTTCTCCAGAACACCATAGAGCTCTTCTGGGCAATCTCTCATTGCTTTCCGCAAAGTCTGAAGGACAGCGGCATGTCGTCTGCCGTGTCCGCTGCTGGAAGAAGTAGAGGATACTTCCCCGTGGCCCACTGAATCGTCTAAAGTGTCTTGGAGACTGCGCTGCTTCTTTGTAGGGCTTGTGAGGTGCTCCAGAATGCTGGTGAGCTTTAGCAAGGATGATTGCATGGGGTTTTCGAGCTCCTCGGCGCTCGGCTTCAACTCCCCCCGGGCTCGGTGGGGGCCTCGCCTTCTTCGTCGCTTTCTCCCAACACATCCAAGCGAGCCGGCTTCCGCAAAGCAGAGGGGCGAGCAACATCCGCTAGATCTGGCTTCTTTCCGGTCAGCATACGTCCCAGCTCCTCCAACTGCACCTGAGAGACTCCTGCCCGGAGGGCTGATTGCACCACATGAGGGTCCAGCCCAGCTATTGGATTCTCTGGGGGAATCTGAGTAGGCGGCTTGAACGTCACCCGGGCCTTTGCTGCAGGAGCCGGGCTCTGCGGTCGAGCCTTGGTTTGGGCAAACTGATGTAGGAGAGCCTTCATCTCGACTAGGGCCTCTTCGACACGGGCAATCCGCTTCTCCTGACTGCTCTTCCCAAGATCGGGCCCTCCGGATTCGGCCGACAGGAAACTGAATTTCTCGTCTGCTACTGTCTGAAGAGCTTCGGCCAAAGGAACATGCTCGCCTACCTCCTGTTCGGTGAGGCATGCGTTCTCTAGCTCGGCCGACTGAACACTCACGAAATCGAGACATTGGATCAGTTCTTCCGACAGGAAACCTATCCAAATCTTGATGTAGGTGCCTTCTATCGGAACTTCTCGATCAACATCTAACACTGAACCGACGGAAACAGAAGCAGCTTTCGAAAAGGATTGAGGCGGTAGCTTTCTTCGGGCTACGGAACGCTGCCAAAAACTGAAAGGTATAGCAGCTAAAATCTTTCCTTGCACACGAGTAATTAGAATGACTGGAACTGGGTCGGGCTCTTCGGCCCCACCGGGTGCAGGCAAACGAATCAAACCGATCTGGTAGAAAGGATCGGCCGTGCCGTCAGGCTGCAAAAGAAACACACTCTCAGGTCGAAAGGGCAGATCACCTGCCTCAGGGCCCTCAGCTGGAATGCCGAGGTTCTCAACAAAATCCTCCATCTAATCTAATCGCTCGGCCAGGCAACGCCGGCCGAGGAGCAAACGGTCTTGCCGTCCGACTTGCTTGGCACTCCAATGAACACCGAACGACCGAATGCACCCCCACGCGATTTGACCAATCGACAGGCTTCAGGGAAAGTTGCAAAAACCTTCACTGGGTTATAAACAACTCCGTTCACCCCCTGAAAACCAAATAATGCTGACTTGGCTCAGGCAACTGGTCACGTCCTGACGAGCCGGTGATGTTGTTCTGCAAAGCACGGGCAACCCAACGACCGATGGAGTTCAAAATGGCCAACCTCTCGGTATCAACCTCAGACGGAAGCGCTTCACCTTGCACAACAGTCTCGCTAATGGGGCCTGTGGACGAATCGCCGGACGCGGTCGGCCCGGACTGTATTGGCACTGGTTCCCACTGCTCCTCAACCTCAGCCTGCACAACTTCAAACTGAAAAGATTCGAGTCCTGAAACCCGAAGCTCAAGGCGCTCAATCCTGGAAGTCAACTCAAGAATAGTACGATCTTGAGTGCTCTGGCTGGACACGCAAGCCCTAGATATCTCGATAAAGCGGTCGAACCGACCGCGTAACGGCAGCGAGCTGCCGCCTGACCAGGTTTGACCACCACTGTCTGACTACCAGCAAAGCCTCGAGAAGGGGCCCGAGTGCGATACCCACCAAAATTCTAATGGAAACAGATTTGAAATCAATATCCCAATCCAGGTAATCAACGGTGGGGCAAATACAATCCACAGGTGAAGGGACAGCCGGTTGAAAAGGCGAGTCCACGAGGTCCGAAAAGAAGCGCCAGGCGAACGAAGAGAGTGATCCCCCTGCCAGTCCTAGTGTCAAGGGCCTATGCTCCATACAAGCTTGACCCAAGAAAGCTGCACCATGCCCAAAGTCATGAGGTTCATATATAGACTTTTTTGGGGGATTCCATCTTTTCGTTGTCGGCTCAACGACCTTACGCGCTGCGATGTGAGACAAAGTTCTTTGACTAGCATCACAAGAAGGCTAACAGTCTCTCCGATCTTCTTGGAGCCTCAGCTGACAGCAAACGCACAGCACCTATGGCTGAGGTTCAGGTTGGTTCAGAAAGGTCCTCAAATGCCACCGAGCCTCGCATGGACATGGATGTGATCGAGCAGCATCTGTGGCGTTTGCGACCAGGCGCGTCAGGTGCACCTGTCGACTGCAACAGGAATTGCCAGTCTACAAAGACGTGCAAACTGAATTGTGGTATATGATTGCACGTAGAACCATGTCACGGATTGTTCATTTGAAGCGAGCGTCACTCATCAGAGGTGAAGGAAAGGACTGCTCCATTGGACCTTGCCAACTCTGACCAAGCAAACACCAATCGTGACCTTGTATTTTCAATTCTCTGGGCGTCGCTCCCTCAAACTCTTCCGAGTACTTGCGAACGCATTCATTGTCATCAAGTTCGCGGATCTGACACCAAACAACTGTACAGGAACATGGGTCAACAGCCTATCTGAGTCGAAACTCTTCCTCTGACCGATAGTTTGCTGTATGTGTCAGGCCTTCACTGCTGCTGTGTAGGCCAGATTGTGCGCAACCGCTGCCTGCGAGGCAGATTACACCAAATCACCGTCTGTTGCTACCCTCGATCATTGTGAAGCCCACCTGTGCGCGTGCATAGGCTGCTGCTTGGGCACCCCTGGATGCAGCTCCTGCCGAATGCCTTGCCCAAATAGACAGCGCCTCCAGCAATGAAGCTGCGCTTTGGCGGGGAAGTCTTTTTGTTTGCCACATGTCATGAGTTGAAGAATGAGGGGCAACGCGGCAACAGCAAACCTCAAACACCAAGGTACCCGCCAACTTCCGCGATCTTGTAGAAAATTTACAGACACACACTACCATGGACCATGGACGCATGGCAAGATCTCAACGGGGCACAGAATTTCAGGGCAGAATAAAGTAGCGGGGAAAATGTAGCATTGCATAAGCACATCCCGAAAGGTTTGATTTGTTTGAAGTAAACCTGTTAGGAGTCGTGGGGTCAGGTGACGCCAAATGATTTCTGCTGTGGTGAGGTGACACATGGTGACTTTCAATGTGGTGAAATGCGATCTGCATGTGTGATGCGTTGAAGAGTGCTGCTTTGGGTGATGCCATGTCAGGTGATTTCTGGTGGGACAACTGATGCAGCAATGCACCTCTTTAATGGTTGGGGGGTTCTTCCCTCGCGTTTCCTTCTATAAGGCTCATTGTTTTTCTGATTGTTTGAAGGCCTGCCTGGCACAGTTGATCACCGCAAAAGTTCTGGTGTCTGAATCCTGCCTTTTGCAACCGGGCCCGCTCCAACTCTTCTAACGTGCCATCTTTAGATGCAAATGCCTTTACACAATTTTATGCATGTATATGCATGTAAAATTGTTTCATATACAGTAATTGTCTCATGCAAATAGGATCAGCACGCCCACCCCTGCCTGGGCCAACTCATCAGGAGGGGAGAGGTCGCTCGGATCTTCTGGCTTGGGACTGAACATGGGGAGTCCCCAAGAAGATCCGAGAAGAGGAATCAGTAATCATATGCACAATTTGTGTAATGTCACTCAACTTGGCTGGTTGAGGAGCAACTTGCTTGGAAAACAATATTGCTTACACTTTGCAAGGCAGTGGCCAGCATCCAAGAAAACATGTTTGGGCCCATGTGTGCAATATCAATCCTACTTACCAAGTGCCTTGGGCCTTGGGCCGGTCCATGACATTGGTGCACAACTCTTTCTTGCACGCATTTCACTGTGGCAAACCTGTACTGCGGCAGAATGCAAATTGCTTTTCTGGCATTGTGTCGTTTGAAGAGATGCACCAGTGTGCATCCAGCTTCTCAAACAGCCTACGTGCCCTCTCACAGGGTGCATCCACCGCCAGGTCACCTCCTCAACTGGCACTCAACCACTGAATTGCTTCCATCGCTTTGGGCCATCCAGTCCTATGCGAGTATTCAGCTCAAAGATGCGAAGTTCACCATCACGCACCTGCATTGTTCAGCGAACACGCTGCTTTGTTCGAAAGAAATCCTGGCCTTGTAGTTGAAATTGCAGATCCCAGAATAGCTCTCCAGAAACTGCTCGAAGATCTTCAAATGCCCGTGCGGCACACTGTACAAGCTTTTGCTCACCCCCCGGCAGCGTGGCCAAACGTAGGTCTCGGAATCGTATTCATAGCCTGAAGGTGCACAAAGAAGCTAGATGACGCCAAAGCTTGTTGCAAAACTACTTTCTTCAAGAGACACGTGCTGACTTCGTCCAGAATGTGCCCAAAGTCTGCCAGGACGGTAGTCGAGACCTGGAATGCAAAGTTCCAACTCCTTCGATACATCGGCACAGTCTTCTCCGCATTCTGTGCTTTCTTTACCATTTCCACACTCGACGCGACTCTGCGCAAATTATGCGACGCCTCAAAGCGCCCATGTACAAGTTCCTGGCTCGCCGGGACATTGAGCAGATCAAAGTCAGAAATCAACACTGCAGTCCCTCTCCTGCAGTACCCAGCGTGTCCCCAGTCCCTGCGGTGTCACCTCTGGATCTTCAAGGCTCAGGCCAACACAAAGCACGACAAAAAACATCAGAATTACAACACCAGATTGCGTTCACAGCCTGAAGATGCTAGCTGGTGGCCTAATTTGAATGGGTTTGGCTCAAAACGAGGTGTGTGATTTGATGTCCTTTACCCGTCTGAGCTCTTTGGAGACACCAGCCTTTGAGCCAGACCAACAGCCTCAACGCCTTTGCTGGAATGGCCTTGCAAACATCCTCAGGGCTGTGGACAATATTGCACTCCTCGGGCAACAAAGGGACTAACAAAACAAGTAATGGCAAAGCAACTGTAAGCAAGTCCGGGTGTATGGTGCCAAAGTTCAGGCAAACATCACAACGATAACAGTCCTTTCCGAACTCTCCATGTGCCTGCAAAACCAAAATCTCCATCAAAGGTTTGAGATAACCAGTCATGCATGCTTTGTACTATATTCTACCTGCTTCAGGATACAAGGGTAGTCCGCACACTCTGCCGACATATATCGTTTCGGCCTAGCACATTTGGAACGCAAGCAAGTCAACAAGAAATTGTGTAAGAGAGCAGGGGAGCAAACATGTTCGTAAGGTCTGAAGGTCCACATAAAAATCCAAGCTGCAAGTGCTGAGTGAGCCCACGTGCCTGAGGACAAGAGTCAAGAGTGGCCACACCGCTCCGACATCTGACCCTAGGCCTCTCAATGATGGAAAAAATATGAACGAATAATTGAGCCTCATCAGTAGGAGGAAGTTAAGCCAGTTAAATCAGGATGCTCACAACTTCAAGAGACCAAGGAAGATCTGGACGACAACCACTGAAACCAAACCACTTGCAGGAAACGAGCGAAGCCGCGGGCCAAATTGAACGCCAAAAAGGGGCGCATCAATGGCACGCTTCGAAAACACTAGCGGGCTGCAAGAACAAGAATAAAAGCCGGACGCGCATGGTTTGGCATTTCTAGAAGTGCGAAACTCTTTTTGGTCAAGTCAGGAATTGAACTGCACCGGCATAGACGCCAGATAGCGGGTGTATAGGTCTAAAGGACGCGCCACGGACTGCTGTCACCACAGCATGCAACATCAGACCAGTCCACAGGAGGATGTCAAGTCCTCCTGTTCAAGTTCGTGAAGATCCAGGTCCTCGCACTGGGTCCAGGATGGGCCCTCCAGCACAGACAAAATGTTCAGTGCCACTTCACTTTTGCGACCTTGGATCTCAAGCTTGCGGGCGTACAACTTCACTCGCCTCCGCCATTCAGCATAGGTGGTGGTCGTGTTGTCGAAGCGGGGCACGAACTTCACGTCTTTGCCAAAAGGCGCGCAGGAACAAGTCTTCCGCCGACAGTTCCGCCCTAGTGGACAATGTCCAGGCGGGTATGGCAATACGGTAGCACAGTGCTACCTCATGGCACAAGATGCCATGCACAAGCCTGTTGATGGTATCAATGCATGTCCGACCCCAAAGGAAAAATATTAGGAGCAAAGGACACTACTAGGGGCCCTGGCATCGCTACTAGGAGCAAGGATGCTACTAGGGGCTCCTGGCCTTACTACTGGGAGCAAGAAGCTCTTAGGAACAAGTGCATCGCTTCTAGTAACAAGTGCCTTACTAGTAGT